TTATCCGTATTTTACTCATATATGGACTTAGTTTTTCTGCCTGTTAACATAACATTTGCTCTGTGGTTAAAGTTTTTCAAATTTTAATAACTTAAACTATCCTGGATTTGTACCACACTTGAACAGAAGCTTGTTTGTGATCATAAGATAGTATTCAAAAGTAAATTTTGTTAAAAAAAATCCTGTTTATCAGTATTTTACTTATAAATGGACTTAGTTTTTCTGCTAGTTAACATTACATTCACTCTGTGGTTAAAGTTTTTCAAATTTTAATAACTTTCTTAAACTATCCTGGATTTGTACCAAACTTAGACAGAAGCTTGTTTAGTCCCCTACTGACGAAGTCGAAGGGGACTTTAGGTTTGCACTCCGTCCGTCTGTCCGTCTGTCCGTCTGTCCGTCTGTCCATCCGTCAGTCTGGCAAATCAGCTTTCCGCACTTTTTTTCTTCGTTCTTGAAGATATTGATTTGATATTTGGTATATAGTTTTATCATGACAAGTTATAGATCAAGTTAGAATTTTGTTCCAGTCTGATGATTTAGTCCAGAGTTATGGACCATAACTCTGAACCATATCTAATGTAAGAGTACTATGTTAAATCATATTTCTGTACAAAGGGAGATAACTCATTTTTTAAAAGACATTCTTTGTTAAATTATTTGAAGAATTTTTTGAGGTTTGTTTGTTATTTAGTATAAACTAATTTTCTGAATGCTATATATATAAAAAAAAATTATGAAGAGAAATCCTTTAATTAGATAATAATCTATTTTTATTAATGTATATATTTCAATACATTACATTGTGTAGATAAAGGTTGTTGACATTTTATAGATAAGTTACAAATCTATATAAGTTTGTGACAAATGAAAGAAAAAAATATTTGGAACTATTAATTATATCTGATTATAATTTGAAATAGCTATACACTGTATTACATCATATCTAATTCTAGAGAACTATTAATCATATCTAATGTTTTTTTCATCATGCTTATAAGATATTGATTGATAATTGGTGTATAGTTTTATCATGACAAGTTACAGATCAAGTTCAAATTTTTGTTTCAGTCTAATAATTTTGTGCAGAGTTATGGTCCTTGGACTTGAAAAATTCACTCATATAATCAGTTTTCAATACTGTTTTTAGTCATGCTTGAAGATATTGACATGATATTTACTTTTTGTTTACACCATGACAAGTTATAGAACAAGTTAACGTTTTGTTCCAGTATAATGAATTTTTACCCGGTAGGGGACTATGTATTGCCATGCAATACTCTCAAAATGCTTGTTTATGATCAAAAGCTAGTATCTAGAAGGAAATTTGTAAAAATTTATTTCCTGTTTTTCCGTATATTACTTATAAATGGACTTAGTTTTATTCCAGTTAACATTACGTACAGTCTGCAGTTAAAGTTTTTAAAACATTTATTAGATTCATAAACCTTCTTGGATTTTTCCACAGAAACTACTCAACGACTAATCTTCCCTAGATGACAAGTTTTTACCAATTTTAGTAACTTTGCCAATTATAATGTAAATAAACTCATCATAAATACCAGGATTAAAATTGTGTATGCCAGACACGCATTTCGTCTAAAAAACACACGTGCTCCATATTTTTTAATTCATAATACTGTCATTACTGTGTTAAAAATGAATAAAAACTGTAAAAATTATATACTTTCTAAATTGTCCATTTTCAAAGTAATGCAACATAAATTTAAGAATCTGTATTGACATATCTTGAAGTTATTCTATCCTTTCTGTGTCATTTATTTATACCTTATTACAATTATTTTCAACCAAAATTTTGAGGCCAAAAATGGACTTTATTTCCCAATGTCCTCTGTTGAAAGAAATATAACTCAAACACAAATCTACATATATATAGATTAGATGTGTTGGTTAAATGCATTAAGGTATAAATCATGAAATTATGGAAAAATTGAAGTGAATATCTTTTTTAATCTTAAAATTTAGTTACTTCTTACTAAAAGAGAAATCGTATAGAAAGTATAAAATGTGTTCATGATTACAGATGTTGGCTGATCTAATGTTTAGGAAGAATGATTATGATGCAGCAATGTTCCATTTCCAACAGTTACTTCAACTTAAACCAGGTTTGTAAACATTTTGTTTTGTAATTTCTAAATTCAAGTTTAACAACAGAGCAAAATGGCTAAATTTACTCATATTTGAATAAAAACTATTTACTACATCAAAAAGGAGGTGTTGGATATACATCAATGAGACTGCAACCTAATGACAAAAAAAATAAAAATCCAAAAGACTTGTAGCTGGCTTAAACTTTGATTGGAAACCATGATGTTGAGATGTTTTATAATTCTGTTTCTTAATGAAGGTAAATATTGACTTAAGAGATGTGATCCAGTGTTAGCAAATAAAGTCTTAAAGAATAATAATTTGTCAATTTGTTTATATATAAAATTTGTGATCGCTTATTATTTATTTTTTGCTTTAAATAATTTATGTTTTTATAATGATCTATTTTATATTAGTTTATTTGATATGCCCAGCAGTCCTAGAATTCTCTTTTTTCACTGAAAAAATAATCTGAGATGGCACTCGATACAAGTAAATTTATGAAGGATTAGTGAAAAGGAATGAATAAACTCTGCAGATTTAATGTTCTTTTTAATTTTAGATAATTATGAGGCCTTAGCCAGACTTGTTGATTTGATGAGAAGAAGTGGTAAGCTAGAAGAGGTTCCAAAGTTTTTAGAGTTAGCTGAGCATGCCTCACCTAGATCTGCAATGGAACCAGGGTTTAATTATTGTAAAGGACTTCATGTATGGTTAGTGGTGTTCATTTAAACATTTCTAAAACATAACTCCTTTCTTAGTACGGAAATCCTGAAATTGAAGGAAAAAATGTTTATTTTCATACATATCATAAAAAGCATTACAAACCATGAAGGAAAAGTAAAATTAAAAAGAATTTTAGCTTTTCTACAGATACACAGGTTATCATACAAAAGCTTAGAAGTTATATATATTACTACAAGAGAACTGTTCAGACTTTTTTGTTTAAATGTATACTATTTCCTGAAAATGGTAAAAAAAAAAGGCTGCTAATGACTTTTAAACAGATTAACTCTGACAGATGATTATATTGGGAAGTATATAAATATGGTGTAGCATGAATGTGTTAATCTTTCTAATATAAGATAAAACATTGTAGCTTTTTTCAATTTAGAAATTTGAAAATTGTGTAAAGATTTAATTTATCCTATAGGTACACAGGTAACCCTACAGAAGCTTTGAAGTTATTTAACAAAGCCAGGAAAGACTCAGACTGGGGCAATCTGTCTACGTACAACATGATAGAGATCTGTCTGAATCCTGACAATGAGACTGTTGGAGGGGAAGTGTTTGAATCGGATGAGGATGGCTCAATGTAAGTGACAAATAATTCTGTAAATGTGTCAATATTTCAGGAACAGTCACCTCAGGTAATTTTGTTCACATGAACAGATTTAAAATATGAAGGAAAAACTAGCCAGCATCGTGTCTGATGTAAAAATGTATAAAAGTTAAGTCATCTGCATGATCTTTACTAAGGGATATTAACATGTACCATATGGTAAGCAGAAATTAGGTTTAAAAGATTATGCATCTGATTAACAAGACATGCAATCCAATAATAACAAAGGCCCTAAACAATAACAATTAATGTACAAAACAAATATTTCAAAAACGACTATTGAAAGTGTTGATTTCTAGCTTTCTGCATACCCGGTAGATACAATGCTTATATTTGTATCAGTTTAAATGAGATAAACAAATATTAATTCTAATGTACACCCCTTCTCCTTTTCCCAAGAAAAAGACATTAACTTTAATAAACAAGAAAACCTACAATAATATTTGTATCAACATTTAGATATTATGAATACACTGCATACCTTTATGTCTATCAATTACAAAGAGATTTTGAAAATATGAATCTACATATCAATATTTAACGGTAGATCTCGTTGTTCCACATGTAAAGCATACTTAATTAAAATGTAAAAAATAAAAACAGTTCATATGTGAGGAGAGTGAACTGCAGAAATAAAAGCCAAAACTTTTAAAGATTTAACACACACAATATATATACAATTTACCTACTATTGATTTATTCTGATTTGTCAAGAAGTATAATAAATCTTCTACCATTGTATATAACACTTTTTTTATCACAATTTGTAGCAAATTATTTGGGTAAGATTATTCTCCAAAACCATTTATGAATGCTGTTAAAAATCAATTGCTACATTTGTTTTGACAATTTTTGACATTTTTACCTATTATGTCTGTTTGTTTTGTTCACACATTGTTAATATAATGGAATTTTATGATACTGTCATACAAGTGGGAGGTTTAGCTAGCTATAAAACCAGGTTTAATCCACCATATTCTACATAAGGAAATGCTTGTTCCAAGTCAGGAATATGACAGTTGTTTTCCATTCGTTTGATGTGTTTGAGCTTCTGATTTTGTCATTTGAAAAAGACTTTCTGTTTTGAATTTTCATTGGAGTTCGGTAATTTTATTATTTTACTTTTTGCAATGTTAAATACTTGCTGTAAACTAATTTTTGCGAGCTATTTATTTATCCCACTTTTGTGAATTGGAACAATATTGCTAATACAATTGGCAGTGAATATTTAAAATTTTTATCATCTTATATGATAATGAATTCATCAACAAAGTTCAAAAACTGCTAAAATAAATTGTGACATAGTGGGCCAGCAAGGACTAAACATAAAGAAAGTATCAGCAAAAAAAGTTGGTTTACGGTATCACGATAATGATAATATATTGTAGGTCACAAGACAAAGACAAGTCAGATAGTGAACAAATGGCTGTAAGAACAGCAGAGAAACTTCTAAAGGTACAATTCTATGGATATATTCTGGATTCAGTTATTATTGTGAATATCAATTTTCACACTTTGAGGATAAAATGTATTTTTGTGGATATTTGATTTTTAGCTCACCTGACCTGAAAGGTCAAGTGAGCTTTTCTCATCACTTTGCGTCCGTCGTCCGTCGTCCGTAAACTTTTACAAAAATCTTCTCCTCTGAAACTACTTGGCCAAATTTGTCCAAACTTGGCCACAATCATCATTGGGGTATCTAGTTTAAAAAATGTGTCCGGTGACCCGGCCAACCAACCAAGATGGCCGCCATGGCTAAAAATAGAACATAGGGGTAAAATGTAGATTTTGGCTTATATCTCTGAAACCAAAGCATTTAGAGCAAATCTGACATGGGGTAAAATTGTTTATCAGGTCAAGATCTATCTGCCCTGAAATTTTCAGATGAATCGGACAACCCGTTGTTGGGTTGCTGCCTCTGAATTGGTAATTTTAAAGAAATTTTGCCGTTTTTGGTTATTATCTTGAATATTATTATAGATAGAGATAAACTGTAAACAGCAATAATGTTCAGCAAAGTAAGATCTACAAATAAGTCAACTTGACCAAAATGGTCAGTTGATCCCTTAAGGAGTTATTGCCCTTTATAGTCAATTTTTAACCATTTTTCGTAAATTTTTGTAATCTTTTAAAAAAAATCTTCTCCTCTGAAACTACTTGGCCAAATTTAACCAAACTTGGCCACAATCATCATTTGGGTATCTAGTTTAAAAAATGTGTCCAGTGACCCGGCCAACCAACCAAGATGGCCGCCATGGCTAAAAATAGAACATAGGGGTAAAATGTAGATTTTGGCTTATATCTCTGAAACCAAAGCATTTAGAGCAAATCTGAAATGGGGTAAAATTGTTTATCAGGTCAAGATCTATCTGCCCTGAAATTTTCAGATGAATCGGACAACCCGTTGTTGGGTTGCTGCCTCTGACTTGGTAATTTTAAGGAAATTTTGCCGTTTTTGGTTATTATCTTGAATATTATTATAGATAGAGATAAACTGTAAACAGCAATAATGTTCAGCAAAGTGAGATCTACAAATAAGTCAACTTGACCAAAATGGTCAGTTGATCCCTTAAGGAGTTATTGCCCTTTATAGTCAATTTTTAACCATTTTTCGTAAATTTTTGTAATCTTTTAAAAAAATCATCTCCTCTGAAACTACTTGACCAAATTTAACCAAACTTGGCCACAATTATCATTGGGGTATCTAGTTTAAAAAATGTGTCCAGTGACCCGGCCAACCAACCAAGATGGCTGCCATGGCTAAAAATAGAACATAGGGGTAAAATGTAGATTTTGGCTTATATCTCTGAAACCAAAGCATTTAGAGCAAATCTGACATGGTAAAATTGTTTATCAGGTCAAGATCTATCTGCCCTGAAATTTTCAGATGAATCGGACAACCCGTTGTTGGGTTGCTGCCCCTGAATTGGTAATTTTAAGGAAATTTTGCCGTTTTTGGTTATTATCTTGAATATTATTATAGATAGAGATAAACTGTAAACAGCAATAATGTTCAGCAAAGTAAGATCTACAAATAAGTCAACTTGACCAAAATGGTCAGTTGATCCCTTAAGGAGTTATTGCCCTTTATAGTCAATTTTTAACCATTTTTCGTAAATTTTTGTAATCTTTTACAAAAATCTTCTCCTCTTAAACTGCTTGGCCAAATTTGTCCAAACTTGGCCACAATCATCATTGGGGTATTTAGTTTTAAAAAATGTGCCCGGTGACCCGGCCAACCAATCAAGATGGCTGCCATGGCTAAAAATAGAACATAGGGGTAAAATGTAGATTTTGGCTTATATCTCTGAAACCAAAGCATTTAGAGCAAATCTGTCGTGAATAAAATTGTTCATTAGGTCAAGATCTATCTTGCCTGAAATTTTCAGATCAATCGGGCAACACGTTGTTGGGTTGCTGCCCCTGAATTGGTCATTTTAAGAAAATTTTGCAGCTTATGGTTATTATCTTGAATACTATTATAGATAGAGATAAACTGTAAACGGCAATAATGTACAGCAAAGTAAGATCTACAAAAAAGTCAACATGATCAAAATTGTCAATTGTTCCCTTAAGGAGTTATTGCCCTTTATAGTCAATTTTTTACAATTTTCATAAATTTTGTAAATTTTTGTAAATTTTTACATAATATTTTCCACTGTAACTACTGGGCCAAGTTCATTATAGATAAAGATAATAGTAAGGAGCAAGAATGTTCAGTAAAGTAAGATAAAAAAACACATCACCATCACCGAAACACAATTTTGTCATGAATCCATCTGTGTCCTTTGTTTGATATGCACATAGACCAAGGTGAGCGACACAGGCTCTTTAGAGCCTCTAGTTTTTGTTTTGCCAAAGTATGCATACAAGCGTATAGATTTGTACTGCTTTGAACATATGAATTCATGGTTTACATTCACTCACCAAAATTGATATCCCACAAATAATAATGAATCCACAGTATTCTAAGAAATGTTTGAATAACATAAATTTCTAAAGATAATGCATGTATACTTTGAAAATACTTTTATGTGTGGTAAATTGGAATCAAGGGGGAAAATACTTTTATGTGTGGTAAATTGGAATCCAGGGGGAAAATACTTTTATGTGTGGTAAATTGGAATCCAGGGGAAGAAGACTTTTATGTGTGGTAAATTGGAATCCAGGGGAAGAATACTTTTATGTGTGGTAAATTGGAATCCAGGGGAAAAATACTGTTATGTGTGGTAAGTTTGAATCAAGGGGGAAAATACTTTTATGTGTGGTAAATTGGAATTCAGGGGAAGAATACTTTTATGTGTGGTAAATTGGAATCCAGGGGAAAAATACTTTATGTTTGGTAAATTGGAATCCAGGGGGAAAATACTTTTAATTGTGGTAAATTGGAATCCAGGGGAAGAATACATTTATGTGTGGTAAATTGGAATCCAGGGAGAAAATACTTTTATGTGTGGTAAATTGGAATCCAGGGGAAGAATACTTTTATGTGTGGTAAATTGGAATCCAGGGGAAAAATACTTTCACACTATTCAGATATAGAATCATGACTTTAATGAAGAAGTGTACAACTTAAAACCATTCAATCCTGCAGTTTGGCAATCCAGTCTTTCTCAAAAGTGTGTCTAAAAAAAGATCAAGCATTGAAACAAAACTTGTTCAGATGGAAATCCAGAAAATCTAAAGCAAAGCAACTGCAATAAAGTTTTCACTGTAGCAGTATTGAGTTCAATACCCCCAAAAAGTGTTCTTCTAGACTTAATGAAATACATCAATAAACTACTGCTAGATATTTTTAAAACTTTTAAAATGGGTGATCTGTATTTTAAACACTGGTATTTTGGGTTAAATAAACTTTAAGGTTAGGGCTGTTCCAGGGAAGGCACTTTAAAATCTCAACTATATATGGTGGGTTTCAAGTACAGTGAAAATATAAGTGAATTTCTAATTTGCCTCTATAGGTGGTTGCCCCATTTTGAAAATGCTTTCCTTGGGTACCATGCATGTTTAAAAGGAACAGCCCTTAATCAAATTTAAAGATATTGTATGATTTTTAATTTTAATTGTTATTGTAGGAATTGAAACCAAAGCCTGGTGATATCAGACCAAAGTTGTTAGAAAACATGGCACTGATTGCAACTAAACAAAAGGCAAATATAGAGAAAGCTTTAAATGCCTTCATGGAGATCTCTACTAATGAAGTATGTTATTCACAATTAGAAGATAATCTTCACTTTTAGAGGTCAATTGTTCTTTTTATGCCCCATTTATGGGCATTATGTTTTTCAGTTCGTTCGTTTGTCTTTCCATTCGTCCGTCCATCTGTCCGGCTTCAGGTTTAAGTTTTTGGTCAAGGTAGTTTTTAATGAAGTTGAAGTCCAATCAACTTGAAACTTAGTACACATGTTCCCTATGATATGATCTTTCTAATTTTAATGCTAGATTGACCCCTATTTTACGTTCCACTGAACATAGAAAATGATAGTGCAAGTGGGGCATCTGTGTACTATGAACACATTCTTGTTTTAATATCACTGGGATGCTATCTCATTGACTTTTACACCTCATTTTTTCAACTGAAAATCATGATTTTTTGTAAGCGTTTACCTTTTGCTTACTAAGTAAAGTAAAAAAAATTGATTCAGCATATTGACAAACATTTGATCATAAGCTCTTATGAGCTTTTCACTAAACAGTTTTTGCTATAATTGTCGTCAGCATAGAAGCGGGAAAAACAAAATACATAAAAATTGAACTGCCTGATTAAATTACATAAGACATTTTTTTAAAACATGACATATTTTATAATTAGATATATTACTGCCTCTTTTCCTCTATCATACATGTAATTGAAGCAGACATGAAAATAACCAGACATGTGACAGAGTCTTTATTTGAAAAGATATTATTCATGTTAGGTACAACAGAAACCATATGTCTGTTAAAATTTTTTTTAACAAATAAACATGTCTATTTGGATGTCTTTTGAAGCTTTTTAAAAAATTATAGCTGTAAATCAAATTTATGACCAAGGAAAGTTTATGAAGGATTTTCTTGACTACTGTCAGAGATATTTGTTACATGTATATTGGTAATTATCTCTTGTGAGAATCAAATTCAATAGATCACTTGTAGAAAATTGGTAACATGAATGGTTTCTTCTTTAACAGATTTGACAAATTGAAACTCAAGATTCTTCTATATTTTTTTCATAAAGCAAATCATTTCATTTTGGAATAAATATATATAAATTTTTAGAGAGATCATGTAGGAGCTTTATATGGAATGGCTGCAGCATATATGGTTCTGAAGCAAACCCCTAGAGCAAGAAATCAACTGAAAAGAGTCGGCAAAAATAACTGGACCATGACAGTAAGTGAAAAAAAGACAAAAAAACACTTAAGAGAGAATAGAACTGAATTCAGCAACACATAAGCTATTTACTACATGCAACAACAATTTTTTTTGCATTTTTTCTCATGGGACATAGCAATTTAAGTGAAATTCTGTGATATCTTTTAATGGCAGATAAGGTGTATAGATAGATAACTATTTTTTTTAAGAAAACAGACCCAGTTTAATAAAATTGCAGACTCAATGAAGTGTTATTGTCATATATAGGTATTTTAAGTTTTGCAATAGTTTGTATTAATTGACAACCCTGTATACTAAGGTATCTACTTCAGGAGACTATCAAAAGTAAAGACAATGGCGTTAGTTCACCAACTGGAGTTATATTTAAAAAAAAAGTTTTTTACAATTTTCAAATATTTCAAAACAAAATATTCTTTCCTGAGGAAACCCCAACCACACAATATTTAACTGTTATATTTGTTAGAGTGTTAGTGTGTTAGTGTGTTAGTGTAGTGCACAGAAAGGTATATTTATGTGTGTGTATATATATATATGTGATATAATATGTAAACATCCTGAATGTTCAGCATTGGTTAGTCAGTTGATCAATTTTGCACGAACAGAAGGTGTCCAAGTAAATATGTTAAGGATACATCCACAATAATTGAAGTCTTTGAAGATACCAGGTAATTTTTGAATTCTATATGTTTTGTAGGATGCAGAAGACTTAGAGAAGAGTTGGTTATTGCTAGCAGACATTTATATACAGGTATACAATATTAGCTGAATTGTTACAAGGAACTGAATGACCATTTAATAACTTGAATGAATTATCTCCCCATAATTACAGTAGTCAGTAATCTCCATTAGCAATGTTTGGTAGATTATTATAAGTTGTTGGTGAAAAAAGGTTATTTAACAGAAAGGACAGATTTAAATTAAAGGAAGTCCATGACTTTTTTATACCACTCCACATTGACTAGAGATATAGGGGGAGGGTTGAGATTTCACAAAACCTGTTTAACCCCGCCACATTTTTTGCGGCTGTCCAAAGTCAGGAACCTCTGGCCTTTGTTAGTCTTGTATGTTTTTTTATTTTTTGTTTATTTATGTGTTCTGGAGTTTAGTGTGACAACCATTTTTGCTGAACTAGAATACATTATTGTTTAGGGGCCAGCTGAAGCCCACCTTCGGGTGCTGGATTTTCTCGCTGCAATGAAGACCCATTGGTGGCCTTGGGCTGTTTTCTGCTCTTGGGTCGGGGTGTTGTCTCTTTGACACATTCCCCATTTCCATTCTCTATTTTAAAGTTACTTGCATAGTAAGTATTAATTATCAGGTGTTCTGTACAAACATGAAGAATTCATAAAATGTCAGCCACAAGCAACAATAAGAAGCCTTTTTGGTAATTAAGCATAGGGAACATACCAAAAGGGTTATGCTGTGTGAAATGACTTATATTTTACAATATCTGTGTATAAAAAATTCCCATTCTAACTTGAAAGCACATGGTGTTTTTTGTTGTTTTGAGATTTTTCTCAAAATCCTTAGCAGAATAATTTACTGTAAATTCAGAAATTATTGCGTGCATTTATTATTGTGATTTATGAAAACTGAACAAAAATGGGAGATTAATTAATGTGATTTCTGGAAAAGCTTCATGCATATATATGTGTCCGATATCA